GAGAGAGAGAGAGGGAAGTGGGGGCAGGAAAGACAGTAAACTGTGAGCAACTCAACATGCCAGAGACGCTGAGCAAAGTAAAACTATGAGCATACGCGATGGCAAACCCATAAAGCGTACCCAATTACCACTGACCCAGGTTGTGCTGGATACGTCAGTGCAAATTATGCCACAAAATGCCAAAACAATGCCAACAACTGAGCAACTTGCTCCTGGTTGTTAACTAGGTTAAATTAACATTAAACCTCATTTAAAATGTACAAAATAATAATTATCTCTTAGAAGGAGCTTGACCTCCTCCGGAAAGATACCAAGAAACAATTATTGTCATAAATTTACATATCTCATCCATAAGGAGAAGGAATCTGGATACTGCAGTACATTCAACATCAACTCCCATGGAAATAAATTTATGTTTACAGCCAAAAACCTCAGTTGACTTTAAAATTTTATTAAACCAATCTAGGCAGCTAGGCAAATGATACAAAATGGTCCAAAGATCTTCCTATCAGCCCATTTGGCAAGATATCACAAACTAATGAATCTTTTCTTTTTTTTTATCATTGATAGTACCTGATTCAATGTAAGTATCCATTTGTTCCAGGTCAATTACTGGTTCTGGAGACTGTGATTCAGGGGGTGGTGGTGTGGCTGAGGCATCAGGCTCCTCCTTGCCCTCACTGTCTATCAGTGTCTGTTCTCCAGTGGGTGTCCCCTCCCTGGACAGTGGCTGAGCTACCTCTACAGTGGGACCTTCGTCAGACTCTGGGATTCCCTCATTCTGAAAATCACAACACAACATTTGTGAAACCACGACAACAGCCAGTACAGGAAGGAAAACAGCAATTTAACTGACACTGATAAATCTGTGAAAAAGTATGAAACATACCAAAATAGTCTGATACATGATTATACAAAATAAGGATGTAGTTGACTTGCCTCTGGTATAGGCGCATTTTCATCCTGTTCCTCATCGACCTTCTAAAAATTAATACAGATTAAAAGGAAACAGTCAGTTGAGACACCTCTTTCTAAATTATTATAACACAATAAATTAGAGATCAGACATACAAGTCATGTAAAAATTATGTAAGAATGAAAACATTCAGGGTCCTGATACCCAAATTATGGAACCAAATCTTGAATGATATTCAAAAGGC